TGCAGTTTTTTGATAATAAATGAATGCCTTACGTTCATCCTTTTCAACTCCAATTCCATTTCGATAACAACATCCAACACTATATATTCCACTAGCATCCCCTATCTCTGCAGATTTTTGATAATAAATGAATGCATTATGCTCATCTTTTTCAATTCCAATCCCGTTTTGACAAAAAAAGCCGAGTGCACAGTAATTACCTTTATTGGCTGCACTTCGAAAATAAGTGCTGGCTTTATCCTTATCAATTTTAACAGTTCACAAAGTTTCTCAGGTGTTTCGTTTATTTGATCCATATGATTCAACACAAATGCAAAAAGAGTTTTTTTTTTCTTTTTCAGGACAAAAAAGAAACCTTTATTAAACAAATGCATGTTGATGATACATTGTGATACATTCTTTATCAAGCAATTACCATACCAAATAAAATTTAAGTTTGGTTGAGGGAACTTAGATAATTGATTCGTGCATGAAGTATCCTTTTTGCTTCTCGATCCTTTCTTTATTTCTTCCTCATACTAAAAAAATAATTATTACGGTAGTTCTTGAGCATATCTTCTTTTCTGTTGAAAGAATAATTAAAAAATTGGTTCTTTTCTGTTTTAGATTTCTCATTCGTTTATTTTTATCAATTCGTCTTTGATTTCCTTATTAGTCAATTTGTTAATTCCTTCCTTTCAACAGCTCAGTAATGATAATTTCAAAATTGTAAAAATCTATAACTATTGTGAATGGTTTTCCTTGTAAAATCTCAGACTCAATATAAATACATACGCATGAATTATTTTCATTGTTTTTTGACAAAGCTATATCTGATATAAAATTTAATAGTATAAGTAGCATTCGAATAATTTTCTCCTTTCTTTTCAGATACACTAAATATTTCACTTTGAAGAATATCGCTATTATGAAGTTAACATGAATATATTGTACTTGATAAATTTTAATTAAATCAAACGATATCAAAATAATGTGTTTTTCCATGTAAGTTCTAAAAATTTCGATTTTAAAATTTTCTTTTTAAATTGTCTTTTTATGTTTAGATTTAAATTAATCTTAATATATAACTATATAGTATTTTTTTTCTAAATTTTGGTTATTAAATATCGCTATAATAATAATTAAACGTGATAATTATCTCTTTGTGGCAGGTTAACGTTAACGTTAATCCCCAATGCCTGCGTAACAATGCATTTACTAATTTTGCCCCAACTTCTGATTGGCTGTATTAGTTATCGAGATGGAATTGGAGTTGAAAAGGATGAACGTAAGGCATTCATTTATTATCAAAAATCTGCAGAGATGGGGAATGCTAGTGGAATATATAATGTTGGATATTGTTATCGAAATGGAGTTGGAG